GTGTGTGTGTGTGTGTGTGTGTGTGTGTGTGTGTGTGTGTGTGTGAGAGAGAGAGAGAGAGAGAGAGAGAGAGAGAGAGAGAGAGAGAGAACGAATCTGTCCCTAACTATGGTACAGCCTCATCAGAGTGAGGCTACAGGCACCCTGGAACCAGCAAGTCATTGGACTTTCCTGTGTGACACAGTTATGATGAAGGTGTGTTGTGTTCGAGGGAAGAATGCAGTGTGAAAGCTGTTGTAGAGCATCTGACACACACATACACCCACACACATTCCATCGATAGGATGAGCAAAAACGAAATGAATCCTCCGCTGAAACGTGGAAATATACACTGCCACTTTTTGATTTGCTCATTCTATCGATCCAAGTAGCGTGCGGCGAGGGGTGGGGTTGGAGACTTAGCTGTTGGCCGAGGTTGGAGACTTATCGTCTCTCTCTCTCTCTCTCTCTCTCTCTCTCTCTCTCTCTCTCTCTCTCTCTCTCTCTCGCGTGACGCTCCCGCTGGGCCCAACGAAATTCGGGCAGGGAGGTCCGCGCGCCGTGCCGCAGGAGACCTAGGAGGGCACAACGGTTGGGGAGGCCGATAGCCGGGATGGGCGCGGTCATGACGGGGGGGGCGGTGGGCGGTCGCTGTCGGCGCGACTTTATGAACAGCCTCTTTTTTCGCTACCGTTTTTTCTCGCCCCGCGCCGGGGGGAGGTTGGGAAGTAGCATGTTCTAAGCGAAGATTCAACCAGGTAGTGTATGTTTCCATCTTCTAGCTGAAGATTCATTGGATGTTGCTCATCCTATCGATGGAAGTAGCATGGCGCGAGCCGCGAGGTTGGAGAGTTATCGTCTCTCTCTCTCTCTCTCTCTCTCTCTCTCTCTCACACACACACACACACACACACGCACACACACACACGAACGATTCATTCCGATTTTGCTAAAAAAGTGGCAGCGTATATTTCCACATTTCAGCGGAAGATTCATTCCGTTTTTGCTCATCCTATCGATGGAATGTGTGTGTGTGTGTGTGTGTGTGTGAGAGAGAGAGAGAGAGCCGATAAGTCTCCAACCTCGGCCAACAGCTAAGTCTCCAACCCCGCCCCTCGCCGCACGCTACTTGGATCGATAGAATGAGCAAATCAAAAAGTGGCAGTGTATATTTCCACGTTCCAGCGGAGGATTCATTTTGTTTTTGCTCATCCTATCGATTGTGTGTGTGTGTGTGTGTGTGTGTGTGTGTGTGAGAGA